ATTTTTCACCGGGTCTGATGTACATGGCAATTTTGGTGAGTTTTCGAGTATGTTTAGGGCCTCAAAAACGCGTGTCTTTGGCACGAATAATAATAATAATCCGAGCAGTTCCAATAGGGTCTTCACACCCTTTGGTGCTCGGACCCTAATAAAACTTGAACTCATTTCAACTGCAGCTGCCTTCAAGCGAAACTCTATTCGTAGGAATCAGATAATAATGAACTCTTAAAGATAAAAACACAGAAGCAGTGTTTGGATCAAAGATGACAAACTGTCCTGAACCATCAGCAGCACTTGAAGCCATCACACCTGGAGGCGCCACCTGCTGGTCGGAGGACTGAAGCAGCCCACGCCAACAACACGCCTCCTACAGGTAGAGTGAGGGAATAACAGGTGGGGTTGGACAGGTACTCCTTCTTCAGTCTAATACGAAATCCAGCAGTTGCCAAACAAAGATTCTGATTTCCTGGTTTTGACCAAACTTTAAGGTCACAGACGTTATTTTAAGGTTGACACATTTTGTGTAATTTAAGCTTGAATTTGTTGTTTTAGTTGATTTAAATATTGAGTGTTCAAAGAAAACTGCAGTTCAAAATTGGAAGACGGTCAAAAGGAATTTAGTTGTGGAATGAAATTCCTTAAAGCTACAACACAAACAAAAACTTTCTGTCTTCTTAAATCCCATAAATACTAAAGTGGAGCAGCTCCATTTATAAAGTCATGTTCATAATTATAGTCATTAAGTATTTCACAGTTAATAATTCATCTGAAACAAAGTGGACGTACCAGTTAGAACCACTGACATATTTATGAGCATTCAACCCGACAACTCGTTTGTCCTGCCAAACCATAAGGAATTCTAAATGCTGGTAATTTCAGAGGAGAAAGTGGCTCCTGGAGCTGATGTAGTCTTTTGGCTGAACATAATGTCAGCAGAAGTTTTCAAGGATTCGTTATTGGTCACAAACACAGCTGGAGGCGGCGTGACGCAGTGGAATGCGTCGTGCGCCTGTTCCACACCGAAACAATAATCAGAAGATGAATAAGAATAAAACACACCAGAAATCAGACGTTATTCTCAGTGGAAAGTTTGCGACTGCAGCTCTGAGTGAACACACCTGTTGGCAGCAGTTCAACATACCTGTGCAGGTGTCTCAGGTGGGCGGGGCTCTGCGCGCACGTGACGATTGGCTGTTCCTGTTCAGAGACGATAGGTGAAGGCACCAGACGGAGGATGGAGGTCTGGACTGGAGTCAGTCAGGTTTCTGTGGTTCTGTACGTCTGTACGCTGCTCTGGAAGCGTCAACAGATCCTGGATGTCCTCCACAGGTGTGACCTCACCTGTGCGTTCCTCATCGGGCCCCTGATTGGTCCCCTGGTAGCTGCTCTGTGTTGTACCGAGTCTCCTGATTCCTACAGCGGCGCCGTCTGTGGAGGCTGCTGCTGCAGCGTCGGTCTGATATGCATCATCGCAAGAAAACAAAAACTGCTGCCAGTGCAGAACAGAGCCGTGCTGGTTACAGGTGAGACTCAACAACAACAACAACAACAACACAGAGTTTCTACAGTCATGTAACGTTTTCTCCTCCTGGAAGTTTTCCTCTTTTCTTGCTTTTCAATGTTCAGTCTCGTTACCTCGACATTAAATTAAATGAGAAATACTTTATTCATCCCAGAAGGGAAATTCAATTAAAGAGTCTTTTTCTAGATTCTTGTTCAAAAAGCCAAAATGAAAACAGATTTCTACAAAGAAATGTCAGTTATTCAGAAATATAAAATATGTGGTTTCATCAGTGTCTCCTCCTTTAGTCAGTAGATGGACCTTCAGCTCCATCATGGTCCTGTTGGTCTCCATCAGTCTGAACATCTGGACTCTGCAGCTTCACCTCATTCTGATGAAACTGTTCAGACTCTGTCGGGTTCCACAGGGATCATGATGAACAGAACTTTAAGTCCAGACACTAGTTCTCAGCTGGAGGTCTGGACTCTGACTGGACCTCCAGAACTTCACCTTGTTGTCTTCAAACCATCTCTGTGGAGCTTTGGCTGTTTGCTTCGACTCATTGTCTTGATGGAAAACAAGTCTTCTCCACGTCTCAGTTCTCCTGCATCAGGTTGTCCTCCAGGATTTCTCTACACTCTGCTGCATTCATTCACCCTCTACCTTCACAAGCCTTCCAGGCTGCTGCTGAGGAGATCCCCACATCATGATGCTGCCACCACCGTGCTTCACAGTGAGGATGTTGTGTTTATGATGATGTGCAGCATTTGGTGTCCACTAAGCATAGTGTCAAGTCTAATACACAAAAAGGTGTCATAGGAGTCTTGGTGGCCTCCTTCACTAGTCTCCTTCTTGTAACTCCTTCAGAGGAGTCGTAGGTGTCTTGGTGGCCTCCTTCACTAGTCTCCTTCTTGTAACTCCTTCAGAGGAGTCGTAGGTGTCTTGGTGGCTCCCTTGTTTCCTTCTTGCTCGGTCACTCAGGTTCTGAGGACGACGTGCTTTATGCAGATTTACACGTCTCGTCTCTTCACATCTCGCTCTGATGGATCAGTCGGACGTTCTTCGGTCTTGTTGAGAACGTTCCTGTTTCAAAGAAGTCACTCCTGCAGCTCGACATTTCTCTGGAAAACATGAAACTGTTTTTAGCCTCCCGACTTTTGGAACATTATGAGCGCCGCTCTGATCAGCTCCCAGCTTCAACTCTGACTCTCAGGTCGGCAGAAAAATCCTTGATGGACTGGATTTTATTATCAGCTACAAACTTGTCAAGAAATGTTGAAAACAATGAGTTCATTCTTCTCCAGTTACCGTCTATCTTCTATTTACATCTGCATGGACTGGAAAAACTGGACCCGAGCTCAGGATGGTATTTCTGATAAAAGGCTGAACGTGCAGCAGCTTTAAATCACAAACACTCAGGAAGAGTTTCTGCAGCGACTCCAAGACACAAACAGACGCCTCTGAACCACAGCTGCTCTCTAACCCTGAACTCCAAAACCCACCGCTGGGTTTCAAGAAGATCCGACTCTTTCATCAGCCAGAAGCTGGAAATCACGTGTGACTTGTAGTTCCATCACGAAAATCAACCAAATTTAAGGTTAAAATCATAATAATCCATCAGAATGACTTAATTCTACATGTCGCACTTAAAAGATGTCAAAAATAAACCGTTTCCAGCATGAACTGCAGCCAGAGGTTCCTCAGACTGAGAGGAGAATCCATCCTCCTGGATCAACGAATAAACACAGCACGGATCAGAACCAGAGACCAGAGGAGCACATTGGTGGAGATACGTTCAGCTGATGGTGGAACATCTTTCTACTGATGGTGGAACATCTTTCTACTGATGGTGGAACATCTTTCTACATCTGATGAGCAGAGAGGAAACATCTGGAGACATGGAGGTAGTTCAACATCAGCAGGACGAGGAGACCACATGACAACAGAGACATGAAGGCAAATGAGGCACAAAACAACATAAACAAGACAAAACGTCAGCGAGACACCAGTGAGACAGAAAACTACAAACATGAGACAAAATTACAGAAACAATGACAAAGAGACACAAAACAACTCATGTTAAACACAACATTAGAAATGATACAAAACATGAAAAGGATGAGTTCTGACTGAGTTCTGCTGACAGCAGCCTCTCTCCTTCTTCATGTGGTTCTGGTTCCTCAGAGCTGCAGGACCTGAACCTCAGTGAGTTAAAACCAGACCCAGACTGATCCGGGTTCAGAGTTTTAACGCTTCATGTCTCCAGCTACAAACCAGCTGCAGCAGCAACTCCATTCTTCATTCCTTCTTCTCAGAGGAACCAGTTCAGACCTGTTCAGTCCAGTTGTTACCTGATCCAGTGTCTCAGTTCTGTTTCCTCTCCAGGCTGTGACTCGGGCTTCGGCCAGGCTCTGGTGCAGCAGCTCAGCCGGATGGGCCTGAAGGTGTTCGCAGGAGTTCTGGACGTCAACGGGGTCGGGGCTCAGCGGCTCAGAGAGCTGCGACGGGAAAACCTGCAGCTGCTGCAGCTCGACATCACCGACGCTGCACAGGTGGAGGCGGCGCTGCAACACGTCCAGACTCAGGTGTCCGACTCAGGTGAGGCTGCAGGTGGAAGCTCCGCCTCCATCCGTCCAACACCAGACAGCATCACTGACTTCATGGAGTCACAGAAATGTACGAGCTGGTTTATGGTCACCGGCACGCAGCTGGCCGATACCGACAGCCATGTCCAGATTTCTGATATCACGATAACCGATGTCGATATTCAATTTTGTTCACATTGAGAAACGACTATAAACAAGCAGAACGTGTTCAGAAGAAGCCCCGATGAGAGCACGTGGTCTTCTGCACCGCGTCACAGAAGTAAGACATGTTCAAACATGAAACAGCAGCGATATCAGACGTAGACACGAAGGTGCTGATGTTAGACAATCATCGGCTAAATGTGTTTATCGGACCGGTACCGATGTGGTCGCCGATATATCGTGCATCCCTAATCAATATCAATCAATAGGTGATTAATTGACGACACAAAGTGGTCACAGCAGACGGTCATCCTGTGATGTTTCCGTCCTCGGACTCCTGGTTGGTTCCATCAGGAACTCTGTCGGTCCCAGTTTGTGTGGAACGCGTTGGTTCTGGTTGGAGTCATGTCACGGTGTCACAAACGGATAGAACAGCAACACTAAGAGCAAAACCAGACGAAGCAAACACATGAGACAAAACAACACAAAGACACTGAAGAAGAAGCAACACGACATAAAAGCATAAACTTTACGTCGAGGTTCCTCAACAGAACATTCAGGAACCGACCGGAGCTTCTTATTGAAGCCCTGCTTGGTTTCATATCTACTCGATCAGATTCTGTATCAGCACACAGTAAACATGGAATGATTCAGATCTCTAATCGGACCTCGGGCTCCCGTTAACCAGACTTCAGTTACTGTTGGGTTTCACGTGTCAGTTCTGTAACTGGGTTGTGGTTCTGCTCGTGCCTGCAGGTCTGTGGGGTTTGGTGAACAATGCAGGAGTCCTGCAGTGTCCGGTGGACGCCGAGCTGCAGCCGCTCGCAGCCTTCAGGCGCTGCATGGACGTCAACTTCCTGTCTGCGGTCCACATGTGTCAGCTGTTCCTGCCGCTGCTGCGCCGGGCCGCAGGTCGCATCGTCAACGTGTCCAGCTTGGCGGGTAGGTCCACGCAGACGTCATACCACATCACATCGGGTTTTATTCACGTAAAGACTGGACACATCCAGCGCTCAGCCCGGTCCCAGAGGCAGAGCTGCACTCAGACGTCTCTAACAGACGAGTGGTTCTGGACTCTCAGCAGCAGCATGTGATCGAGTGCAACGAGTCGCTTCATGAAACGAGTTCAGCTAAAGCAGCAACTCAGCAGATTGTCCCTATAGTTCTGGTCACTGGGGTCTGGTCTGGTTCCTTCAGTCCTACAGAATCTCCTTCGACTCATTTTGTTCATGTTTCGTCTCAGAGCATCTGATGTGGCTCCTTTGTGGTCATTTGTGCTCTATTTTGCTTATTTTATGGTCCTTGTGTTCCTTTTGGGTTTCTGCTGCAGCTGAGGTGCCGATGCCGATGTTCGGAGCCTACGGAGCCTCCAAGGCGGCTCTGAAGGTCGTCTCGGAGGTGATGAGGCAGGAACTGGCTCCGTGGGGAGTCCGAGTGTCTGTGATCCAGCCTGCCGGCTTCAGAACCAGTACGTCTGACAGGTTTACCGTGTTTTTACCTCCAGCTGGGCTCAGAACCAGCAGAACGGTCCGATTTAAAGCAGGTTCCACCAGAGTTACAGCTTCTCCTGCTACGGCCACAGAACCAAACCCTAGAAGTCATTGGGTCAGAACAGAGCCGGTGTCACCGGTACCGCCAGCCTGTCTCCAGTTTACTGTAAAACCTCCTGCAGCCTTCTGGACCCTGAAACAGAAAGTTCTGATGAGGACTGGATCGAGCAGCACTAAGAGTCCGACAGAACCTGGTTTCATTCTGCCTGAGCTCACGGTTCAGGGATTTATCCAAACTAAAGTCGTGCTTCTGCAAAAACACTGAATAAATGAACTGGATTCAAAAACTTAAAAAAATAAACAAATCACTAAACTGTGAAGTTTTGAAGCAAATTCCTGCCTGATATTATAAATAATCAATAAGCTGATTGATCTGCTGGCTTCAGACCAGTGAACGGTTCAGACCCGTGTACTGCTGATGGTTCAGACGCTGAATCAGCAGATTAAAGATCAAACTGGAAACCAGCCAGCAGGGGGCGACTCCTCTGGCTGGAGATGAAGAATCAAGTGGCAGGTGATGGTTTGGGGCGGGGCTTCCCTGTGCCTGACAGGTTGGTACGACGTCACTGTAAACTATCAGTAAACAACTGATAATAATCATTGTTAGCAAAGTAAAAGTACTGACGGGGTTTTGCAGTCGACATAGTTTTGTTGGTGATACGACACGGCAGCAAACATACTGTAGACCAGCTGCAGTACCTGATTGTTCCACCAGGTGGAGCCTCTCACTGTTCAATGAGCTCTGATCCACTCACAGTGAAGTCACAACAAACTCAGATGCTGATGACCGGCGTTCTGCCGACCTCTCGTCCCTCAGACATCTTCGGTGACGAGGACTCCGTCCGCCGCCACGCCGCCCAGCTGCTCGCCACCGTCTCCGCCGAGGCCAGAGCGGATTACGGGGACTCGTACATCTCGTCTCTGTCCGGCGGTCTGGCCATCATGTCCCGGCAGGCGGCAGCCGACCTGTCTCCGGTGGTGGACGACATGTGTGACGCTCTGCTGTCGGCCAATCCCAGGGCTCTGTACGCACCTGGACAGATGGGCTGGCTCCTCCCCTTCCTGCACCGCACCTGTTCCACCACCGTGTTTGACGCCATCATCAGCCACCTGCCGAAATACACCAATCAGCAGCCAGCAGGACTCAGGAGGATGTGATGTCACGCGTCTGACCACGCCCTGCTGCTGTCCTCACAACACTAAGACAACGAGACGCGAGATATTAGAAACTACAGTCGTGACTCGATGATCTGACTCTAAACGTAAAACCTTCTTCTATGTCGGATATCAAGGCTGTTGGATTGTCCAGACGGAGGTCCAGATACGAGGAGGGCTTGATGCTGGAAGGCTCATTAGTTGTTCATTATTGTTCATAGTTGTTATAATAACTAGTGTGTTGTTAGAACACGACGCATCGCTGGACTTCAGCCTCACTGACCGATTGTGCACGTTCTGGACACTTCCACCCCGGGGCAGCGCTCTGACGGGGTGGAAGTGTCCAGAACACACAGGCAGTACTTGGCTGCTGATGCTAGTTTAGTTAGCGCTCACACTTCTGTTTCCTCCATCGGTGGCGGCGGGGGAGTGGCAGATACGCTCCACCGTTACCATCCATGTTTACTTCCATAAACACTGAGCACGCTCGCTGCGTGTGACGTCGTCGTGTCCTCTTCTGCGCATGCGGGACACTTTTGGCTCGTATGAAGTTCACACAGCAGATCACATACAAGTCGCATTGAAGTGGAAACGTGAAGGAAGTCACAAAGAAATCCTCATTGAGCATCAAGTCCTGCAGTGTGAACGTAGCCAATCTGTGGGATTGTTCAGTCAGATAATACGCCGTCATCCTGATTGGTGACATTAAATGTCATGTCGGAGTCACAATCCAAGGCTGTCGCTATGTTAAGGCTGTTTTTATGGGTTCTGTTGGGTTTTCCTAAGAACCTGTCGGACAGCAGGTTTAGGATTGTTAAGGGTCCGATTATGGAGTCACGGCTGTACAAACAAAAAATTAAATATGACAAAAGCAAGACAAAACAAACGAGACACAAAACGGTAAATTTAGCAGCTATATTCTGCACCTGAGACAAAGGTGTGACCTTTAGTTAGCTGCTGGAACAAACGAAGTCATGTGACCACCTGGTTCCTGGTTGTCTGCAAGTGACACAGCTTCAACACAAACCTGCTTTTAGTCTGTAATCAGATAAATTATGACGTTCAGATCGACGCCGCTGTTACATCTGTGCAGACGCTGGATAGCTTAGCTTAGCATAGAAATTGTTAATAAGGCAAAATACTAGTTCAGTTTTGTTTAGCATAGACTGGAAACAATGTGAAGCAATTAGCTAGCTTAGCTTCGAATAAATACAGAAAACAGGAAATGCCTTGCTTAGGTTAGCTTAGCATGAAGATGAGAACTGGAGTAAACAGTTAGCTTAGCAAAAAGATAAAACAAGGGCAAAGAGCTGGTTTAACTCAGTATAGAGACTGGAAACAAAGTGATGCAGTTAGCTTAGCTTAGCATAAAGACGGTAAGAGGGAAAAGCTAGTTTAGTTTAGCATAAAGAGTGAAAACAATGTAAAGCAGTTAGCTTAGCTTAGCATAATGACTGGAAACAAGGGCAAAGAGCCGGTTTAACTCAGCATAGAGACGGGAAACAGTGATACAATTAGCTTAGCTTAGCATAAAGACTGGTAAGAGGGAAAAGCAAGTTTAGTTTAGCATAGCGACTGAAAACAATGTAGCTTAGCATAAAGACAGGACACAGGGAACAAAAAATAAAATGACAGCCTCTGAGCGGCTCATTTAATGGATTCTGTAAAACATTTGTTCATAACGTTCGGCATCAGACACTCATGAGGACGAACAACAACATCCACAGTGGTTTAAAACATCCGCTGCTCAAACAGTTTCTCCAAACAAAGACATAAAAAAGGTTTTTGAGTCTTTTCCATAAAACACGTCTCCAAAGTTCAGTCCTGAGGTTTCAGAAAAACTCTCTTGGGTTCCGTTTCCACGACGTTCTGGTTCTCGTCTTCGTCCATCGCTGCTCGTTCGCGCTTCTTTGCAAACTTCTTCTTCATGCTGCCGACCAAACTCTCGTACCTGGAACATGAAATAAACTGAATTCACTCAAACTTCTGCTTCGTAATGTTGGTTTTTACTCTGAATAACTTTCATCTGTGTTCGGCGGCTTTTCAATGAGCTGCTTTAAAGCTGACGACAGACTTCAGCTGATTTTCACTTTTACTCAGTTTCCATTTATCTGTTTTCTGTTCGATGTTTTAGGAGAAAAAATTGAAGTGAAAACAGTGAGTGCTGTTTCTATCCAGCTTCGGACTCACTGCTGGTCAGGCTGTGGTTGTATTTACAGTCCTGATGGTATTTTCAGGGGAACCGTCCATCAGGCTTTGGGTCAGTTTCTGTGTTGGGATGTTGGAACTAAAAGCTCATCCTTTCTGACTCAAACATCTCAGAATCCATCAGATGAATTCTCTCAGACCCTGACCATCACAGTTTGGTACCTTAAAGCCATTTCTTCATCGGTGACGTCCGTCTGCATTCGTCTCTCGTCTTCTTCGTCCCGTTCCTCCTTTTCCTCTTTAGGATTCATCAGAACCATCAGTTTCTGCAGCGAACGCACAACAGTGAAGGAAAACGAAGTCTCACGTTAGTCTGAGGAACAAGCTGATCTCACCGTCAGACAGCAGCACCTTCACCTGGAACCTGTTAAACTCTGCATCTATTCTGTCTTTTAAACGGTTTCTGTCCCACATTCAGAACAAACTTTGCTTCACACACGATAAAGTGACACAGATGCCTTAAAAATGTAGAAAACTTTTACTGAGAATCCTTTGAAATGTTCAGAGACATCGATAAGTCCAGTCATGTTTCTGATTCCTCTGGACGACCACATGGTCTCATCACCACCTTCAGCTCAGCCTCTGTAAGACTGAGCTCCTTGTCATCCCAGCCAGTCCCTCTCTACAACAAGGAATCAGCATCCAGCTGATCCAACCCAACTCAGACCCACTAAATCTGACAGAACCTTGGG